GCCCCTGCAACCCTCTCCTCAGGTGCAAACTATCCACATTCTCCACCCACTAGTAAGGATGGGGCTTCCCTATCACACAGCTATGGTCATCCTCTGTTGTGCCCAAAGATAATGGCGGGTCTGCCCCAGGAGCTGGCCAGCTGGTTTGCAAGTGGTATGCCTGGCCTCAGCAGCCCCAGGGGCTACTAAATTGCATTTTATCCAGCCACTCTTAGTCAAGAGCAAAGCTTAGTGTTTTGGCCACTGTTAGTGCCAGAGCCCAGTAGCCCCTGCCCCTTTCCAGCCCACACCAAACCCAGGCTGCTGCCTGGTCAGAAGAGTGTAGCTCTGTGCCCATTCTGAGGACAGAATGGCATGAGGAGGGAGGACTGGTCAGCTCAGCCTGGCATCAGCACTATGGCTCAGCAGAGCCACTTCCTGGACCAGTCCTGTTTCCAGGCCCAAAGTAGTCAAGTCACTAAAATGGAAGTGAGACCTGGACAGCAGGTGGCCCTTGATGTGGGAGCTGGATCAAGGAGTCCTGCTCACTCACCACTGGCCTGAGACAGGGCTGGGGTTCTACTTTCCCAGACTCTAGACGCAGGCCCAGGTGGGTTGGTGACTGTCATGCAGGTTGGTTCAGTTGTGGTCATTGATGTGTGGGGCATTTAATGTCATGCTGATTGGTTCAGTTGTGGCCATTGATGTTTGGGGCGTTTAATGTGCTAAATGGAGATAATTGGGGAGCTGTTTTCCAAAGTCTGTGTAGGTGCTGCTTTGACAACCCTGAGTGTCCGTCTGTCCCTCTCTTGCCACAGCGGTTAGAAGGCAGCCAGGATGCAAGGCCGAGCAGTCGAGGGGAGCCTGTGGGCCCTTCCTCAGAGAAGCCTCTGCCAGCCTCCAGCAGAGGCCTTCCCCAACCGGGACCAGTTCACCCTAGTGTTGGGGGCTGCAGAAGGGTACAAGTGATCCCAGTTTTGAGGAGGACCATAAGGGAAGCTACTGAATTGTAATGAGGAGAAAGTCACCATTTTCTCTCACTGGTTTGGGACTCCCATTTCTCATCCCACCTTTTTCATCGAAAGCCTGCTAGAATGTTTGTGGATGGTGGAAAAGTCCTCGGGACTTGTCGCTGCCCCAACCCAGGTTATCGCAGCAGCTCTGAGAGAGGAGTGTCGTAGGCTGGATGTTCCTGGCTATTTGTTTACATTTGTAAGAAGTAACACTGTGAATGTAAAATTTGGAGTCATTCCCTGTAGAATTCATATTCCTGGCTCAGCACAGAGTAACTGGCCACCCCTTGTTCACGATGTGACCTCAATAGTCAGTGTTCAGCAGATGCCTGTGTGTGCCAGAGGAGTGTGAGTTTCTGAGCAGAATGACTCTGCTCCTGCATAAGTATTCACACTTGTCCATACCCACACACCTGTAATTCATATTCACACGCACACACATCTCAAGACAAATATGCAAGGCCTCTACAAATGCCCGTGTCGGCTTTTCTTTGAGGTTGCCTTTTCTAGATCTGTCACGTGACGTCAGCTGCAGGCCTCACAACTAAGAATGGGACTCCTGAAAGTAGGGTTGTTCATTGCTTGTTGAAATCCCTCTGGAGAAAGCGTCTACCTTAGCACCCCTCTGCAGGAGGGATTAAGCCCTGATCAAGTTCCAAGAAGTCCATGACAAGTCCCAATCATATTGCCAATCCAAACTGTTGAAAAGGTCATTAATTTGGTTGTCAAGATTTTTTGAGGGGATTTGTGGGGGGGCGGTGTTTTTGTTTTCTTGTTGGTACTATCAAGAAAGATTTTAATGAAACCAGGGTAGACTTGTTCGGCAGTGCACTTAAGCAAACATGCCTCCCTTCCTCTGCTGGTCCGGCTCAATGTACATGGGGGATGTTTCCAACTGCCAAGTGCCCTTTATTACTGTTCTCTCTCATTTTTGCCAGCACATGTATCCTTTCAGGAGGAAAGCGTGAAGCTGAAACACCTAAGACACCCAGAGCATAGCATCAGAGAAGCCCTGTGCCCTAAAGGACGCCCTCGGCCACCCTCCCTGACGGCTCATTTCAGAGTGGAATAAGCAGCTTCTCGTGGAGCTGGCCCAGGCCTTGCCATCCACTCAGCTCGGGGGCACAGCCCTAAACACAGCAATAACTGCTTCAGGGGCTAGTCTGAACTTGAATCTGTGTGTTTAGGGGTGTGGAATTAGCCTCCTCATGCCACCGGTGAGCAGCCTCCCTAGTGAATGTCCTCACTCGGCACCCTCTGTGGTGGCTGCGGGCCAGAGTGGAGTTGGAGTTGTTCTCTGATGGGGCTGCGTCTGGGACCCAGGAGAAGGAGGACCTGGAGAGGGGCGGGCTCAGTGGAGAGCTGGGGATGGCTGGAGCAGGGAAGAGTCACTAGCTCTCTGGGCCTGGTACTGCTAGGAGTGGGACCTGCTCAGCCGTGTGACAGCTGAAAGCCATGTGGGAGGCACAGGGGCTGTTCCTTCTCTGCTTGCCCATCACACAGTAATATTGTTGAACCTCCCCTCACTTGTTCCTGGGAGCAGTCTCCTGGTGTACATGGGGTGGTGACCACCAGCCTTGGAAGATGGTGGCCAACAGACCTGGCCACAGAGGTTGGCTCTGACCTGAGTGGGACCACCTCCCCAGGGCTCCTGCTCTATACTACAGGCAGAGTGGCCAGGGAGCCAGCAGGGCTGTGATGGGCAAGCTCCGGAGCCCTGCCCAGACTCAGCCATTGGCTTCCAACAGGAAAGGGAAGGGCTGACATGAGATGTATATTTAAATTTTTTTAACTGCTGCAAATATTGTACATCCAAATTAAAGGAAAAAAATTAAACCATGAATTGCTGCTATACGAACCTTGCTTTGCTTATTGAGACCTAGACCGTGCTGTGCTGGTACTTGAGGAGACAGTCTCCCAGGTGCTCCTCTGAAGGGCATGAGTTGTCCCACCAGCAGACGTCTGGTACCATGGGGCCAGGAGCCAGCCTGCCTGGCTGGGAACTTCCCAGAAGGGCAGCACAAACCACAAAGCGGTGGTCTCCTGCCCTGGAGACATGGGCTGCCAAAGCTTTTGTGGTTCAGCGATGGTTATAAGCTAATTGTATGGAAACCTCAGGCTTTGAGCCTTTCCTTTCTGCTTCCACATTTGGCCCAGGGCAGGGGGTGGTAATTTCCCGCACAGGGACTAGAGCTGTGTTCCCACATGGGGCATGAACTGGCTTTTGAGTCTGCTCAGGGGCCTGCCAACCCCTTCTACCTCCTTGGCCACTGGCACCTTCCACTCCTAAAGCTGTGAGTGTTTCCCACCTGTGCTCTGGCTTGGGCTGCTGCTGTCTGCAGAGCCTGGCTCAGTCCATGTTGGCTTGTAAGTTCTTCCTATCTGAAATGCCTTGTTCTCTAGGAAGTCCGTTTAGCTTAACTGGGGCACTCTGCTCTGGGAGTGCCTCTCCAAGGGCCCTTGGTGCTCAGTGTTATAGTAATCTTAAGGTACAGATATTTTATCCACTAACTTGCAGAAACAAAAACCCCAGACTATGGATTTCTCTGCGCAGGTATTTAGTAAATGTTTGCTTGTAGTCCCATCTGGTTCCAGCTAATTGGTGGGAGTGGCCTGCCATCCCTCAGTGGAGCAGGCTCTGCAGTTGGCACCAAGAGAGATGGGCCAGTCGGCGGAGGCAGTACCACTGCATGTGGGGCCTTCTGAGATTCAGTGGCAGCTTGTGCCACCGAGTCTCCTAAGGAGCAGGGTCCTCTTTCACTGGACGGTGATAGTGAGTACTCGGCCAGAGGGACCTGGTGACAGGCCCAGCCAGAGCAGAGCACACACTCCCCCATTTGCCATGAGCTGAATCTGTCTTTGCATCAGTGACTCGACTCCTGGGCCCCTGATGGCCTCACCCTTCAGAGCTGCCTAAGTCCTTGGTCACTTCAAGGAAATGGAATGCTTCCTTTCTCCCTGGTCCAGGTGTGGATAGCAGATCCTTGGCACACCTGGCATGGCTGATACTTCCAGGAAGATGCCCCCCCTCATGAGTGGCTTGTCTATGGCATGTCTCCATCGTCCCCCTCCTGCACCATGGCAGAGGGCAGGAGCCCAGCAGACTGTCCTCCCCATCACCAGAGCACATACCCTGCATCCCTGCCTCACTGGGGGTTGTGCTCTCTGACTTTGGTGGCATTGGTTTTTAGCTATAACCAGCTTTGTTTCAATAAGGATTTTGCAGTAGCTTCCCAAGCATGGTGTGTGGTACTTCCTTACACTCTCTGTCAGATGCGGGAAGCAGCCAGGGTGAGGTGGGGGCCTGTTCCCAGGGGTGGGTATACCCCCAGGACAGCCTGGCAGCAGGGCCCAGTAAGGGCATTGTCTCAGGGATCAAAGTACAGAGGTAGACCCAGTTCTGTGGGTCACCAGGACGCCATCATGTGCAGTTCCCCTGTATGTTCCGAGCAGCCTGGCTCCCAGTCTGGGCAATGGTATGTCTCCACACAGATAGCCCTCTCTATTGCAGGCGCATCCTCTGGGGCCCTGGGGGTTCCAGGCCCTGAAGGTGGGGGCAGGGCTAGAGCCCTTAAGCCAGGCCCTGGGGAGCCCCGGGTCAGGTTAGGGCTGCCCACTGAGGCAAAGGGCTGACAGGGAAGGGGCTGCATGGTGCCTGACACAGGAGGTAAGTGGCAGTGCCCAGCCACGGGGGGCCCACACCCCACTGACCCTACTACAGCTGGCTCCAGCACTAACTGCACCCCTCTTCACAGTCCCCACTGGTTTTAGGAAAGTCCTCTGGCCCTTTTGCCTGGGCCCTGCAGCCTCCTAGCTGGGGCTACATCCATGCCCTCCACTCCCTGCATCCCTGCCTTGGCCCACACCCCGAGTTCTTCCACCACCAAATCCGGCCATTACCCCAGAGCCTACTGTGGATGCCCAGCTCCACTCAGTTTCCAGGGAGGGGGCCCTACCACCCCCACCCAGGGTCAGTCCTGGTGTCCTGCCAGCCTGTGAGCTGAGTGGAATGGGAGTGTCCACTTGGGCCACCTTTATTATGTGGAGGGGACACGAGACCTAGAGAGCACAGGCCTTACTGGGCTCATAAAACCAGGCTGGACCTTGGCCTCTCAGTGCTGCTGTTGAGGCCTGATGCTTCTCCCTGCAGGTGCTGCTGGGCCCCACCCTGGGCCTCTGCTCCTGATCCCGCGGTGACTGGGGGTCCCAGCAGGCCATGCAGCTATGCCAAGGTATGGAGCCCCCCCTAACAAAGGGCAGGCCTGGGGCTCCCCTGGTGGGACAGCTGGGTGCTGGCCCTTCCCTCTGCCTGTCCACCTAGTTCTTTTTTGTCCTGGGAGGCCCAGAGTGAGGGAGAGGCTCCAGCTCCCAGTTTGGGGGTCTCTAAGGCATGCCAGGCTGAGTAGGTTGGACTCGAGCCATTAGCCCACCTCTCAGAAACCCCTGCAGGGTGGGCTCTGCCTCCCCGTGACCCTGGCACTCAGATGCGGGTAGATGTGCCTTGTTCATGGCCATGCCGCTACAAGGCCCTGGACACGGCAGTGATGCCCACTGATCATCAGAAGCCCCTCCAGCCCACATGGCAGGCCAGGCCATGCCCTTTCCCTAGTCTCTCAGGCAGTTTATCTAGGGTTGGCAGATAGCATTCCTGTGGTGTCCCCAGGCTCTGAGAGAGGCTGTCCTGCTGTTCCGCAGTGACAATGAGGAAACAGGCTGGGGGGACGAATGTGACTCAGTTCACAAGCTGCACTCTGCCTGCCCTTCCAGCAGAGCCCTCACCTGTGCCTGTTTTCCAGGAGCCACAGCTGGGGGAAAGGGACTAGGAGGGGTCCCTGATGTCATTCAGGAGGGCCAAACCCTGTACTTGAGAAGTCACTCATTCCTTCTGCAAATACTGAGAGCTCTCTGAGTGTCTGTGCTGGACACTAGGGAGCAGCAGCGAGCCACAGGCCAGCCAGGAGGACAAAGGACTGACCTGGCAGTGAGTGGGGAGGATCTGGGACCCCCTCCCATGCCTCAGCCTCAGACAGGAGGGATGGTGTCTCCTGAGGCCCAGAGCTGATAGCACAGCCAGGCCATGACCAAGGGACCTGGGGAAGTGGGGTGTGGATGCCCCGTTGGGTTCCCCGCAGACACTGGGGGCTGGCCTCCTGGCATCCTCTCTAGTCTGACTTACAGGGCCCAGGGAGCTCCATGCCAGCCCTCCCCATGCTGTGCACTCGCCATGGGCCCTGCCTTGCTCTTCCCTGAGAGCCTCAGCCCACTGGGCCTTTGTTCCCCTCCTGCAGGTCACATGAGGTGCTCTTCTCAGAGTTCATGGAGCCATGGGCTGAGGCTCAGCAACACCTTCCCCCTGCAGGCCCTGCCCCCCTATACTGGGGCAGCTCAGACCTGAGGCTCCTGTGTTTAGTCAGGCCCAAGGAGGATAGGCAGGCCCAGAGCAGGACCACCAACTGGGTGCTGGGCCCACAGACACCAGATTCAGGCTGGGCACCGTGTCCAGCATGGCCCAGCATGGCCCATCCCAGATGACTTGGGCCCTGTCGAATCTTATTTGATTTTTAGATTTTAAATTTTGGGTGCCACTACCCTTAGGTGGCACTCTCCCTGCACGGTCCCCGGCTCTTGCCAGGCCAGGGTTCCCTGACATTCTGTCCCAAAGCCCCGCAGAGGCAGATGTCCTCCCCATCCTGACCCTTGATCCCCCTTTCTGCCCTGCCACCCGTGCATATCACGAGTGTCTGACCACCATCAGCTCTGCACAGGGTCCAGTCTGTGCCCTGCACCCTGCCCTTGCCAGCTGGTGCTTCCAGGAAGTACCTTCTGCCTGCCCGTGGTTTACCCGGCAAACTCCTCTTGAACAGACTTGCTTTTGCCTGCTGGACAGGTGCTGGAGGTCTGTGTCCCTGTCCCCTTCGTGCACCACTAGGCAGGGCTCCCAGTGTCCATGCATTGCCCAGGGCATCTAGGGCAAAAGAGTATGAGAAGAAAGAGCCAGCAGGATCATGGGACCCTGAGACCCCACAACCCCAAGGCCAGCCTCAGTGAAGCCTGGCAGGAGCCTTCTGAATGAGGAAGGGAGCCACACAGCCAGGGAACCCTGCTAGTGCCAGTGACCACCTTGCCCAGGCCATCACTGTCCCTCTTCCCCATCCCACTTTGCTCCTTTCTCCTTGTCCACCTGCCACACCTCCTGTGTTGGTCTATAAGGCCTGGCCAGGTGGAGGTGGGGGCAACGCCTGGATCCATCTGTCGGGCCGCTGGGTTTGGGCCAGTCCGTCCACTGGCTGCAATATTGATGGCCCGTCAGTACAGCCCTGATTCCTGGGCTTTCAGTTAAAAGGTTTCTGTTGTTGTAGCTTATGCAGTTGCTCTGTTGCTATGGAAACGTGACATCAAAATGACGTTTCCCGTTTAAAAGCTTTTAACTAAATTCCTGCCTGTCAGATCTAGGCCCCATTTTGAGCGTGGAGCTGCCTTCGAGCGAGCCAGTGAGCCCGTGCGCCCCCTGCTCATGGTCCGCGGGACCAGCCGGAGGCCTCGCCTGAGTGCGATCTCTAACCCCCAGGCACTCCCAGCATGGCAGCTGCCGAGGTGCCCAGCTACCTGGTGTCCCCTCAGACGGAGAAGCACCGGCGGGCCCGAAACTGGACCGATGCTGAGATGCGCGGCCTCATGCTCGTCTGGGAGGAGTTCTTTGACGAGCTCAAGCAAACCAAGCGGAACGCCAAGGTGTATGAGAAGATGGCCAGCAAGCTTTTCGAGATGACTGGTGAGCGCAGGCTGGGCGAGGAGATCAAGATCAAGATCACCAACATGACCTTCCAGTACAGGTGGGCGGGGCCTGGCACGGACGCATGCGGGAGGTCGTGTGGGTCCTAGGGCGGTGGCCTACCTGTTAGACTCCCTTGCCCTTGTGTAGACAGAGTCCCACAGGCTGAGACCATATGCAACCTTCTCTTGGGGGCCGGGAGACCCAGGAAGCTGGTCAGAACGGAGGGTGGCAGGCTGGGCTGATAGCAACACCTTGGGCCCGGGGTTGCTATGGGGCCTAGGCCAGGACAGCGGCAAGAGTGCAAGGCCTGGACATTGCCCCAAGACACTTCAGAGAGATGCACCCCTTGACCTGCACATATCCAACCCCAGGCGGGAGACTGCCACTGCCCTCCCTGCCACCAAGCCCCACACTCAGTAGGAGCGTTGGGTCCTGCTATACAGGTGGGAAACTGAGACCAGAGGCAAGAAGGAGGCTTGGCTCCCAGACCTGCCTGGTCCTGATGTTCTGTGACTTCTAACATCAGCTGAGTCCTGCTGAAAACCCCTCTCAGGCTGGCCTCAGGGTCAGAGAAATGAGCATTTAGGGCTGACATTTGCCACTGCACTTTAGCCTGGGCAATCCAGTGGGTGGTGCCTGTGGCTCAGTGAGTAGGGTGCCGGCCCCATATACTGAGGGTGGTGGGTTCAAACCCGGTCCAGCCAAACTGCAACAAAAAAATAGCCAGGTGTGTGGTGGACGCCTGTGGTCTCAGCTACTCAGGAGGCTGAGGCAAGATAAATGCCTAAGCCCAAGAGCTGGAGTTTGCTGTGAGCTTTGACGCCACAGCACTCTACTGAGGGTGACAAAATGAGACTCTGTCTCTAAAAATAAATAAATAAATAAAAATAAAAAACATGCCAGAGGGGCCAGAACAGTGGCCGGTTGGGGATGGAGGAAGAGGTGGAGCCTGGCCTTGGCCCCAGGGACTCCCAGGCTGGGCATCTCCTGGCCCGTCAGTATCCTGGGTTACTTTCCCTGCCTGGCAGCCTGAGAGAAACGCCTGCAGGTCTGGGGCTGCTCTGGCTCCCAGGAGGGAGCAGGTGAAGCCTTGGCCCATCTGGACAGAGACACAGGTGGGCCCGGGTCATGGTGTGGCAAAGGTTTCAGGTGGGGAGGGGCTTGCATGGAGTGAGGGTGGCAGCAGGAACTGGGAGCTCAGGTGCCTGTTCCCCTCGGGCAGGAAGTCTGAGGGAGGCTGGTGCAGATGGCTGTACAGGTTTGCCTGGGAGACCCTGAGTCATGCATTGTGGGAGAGGACCCCACTTTCCTAACAGGAGAGTTGGCCTCCAGCAAAGTGGGAGGGGAGCCCCAGCCCTCACATCTCTGATCCCCCAGGCTCAAGCAGGGACCTGGACAGCCCACAGGCCATGGAGGCTTTGCTTTGGGATATGGTGATTTGACTTTCTGTGACACTTTAAGGAGTGGGTCCAGAGCCTGGCCTACCCAATGGCCTGTTTCTGCATTTTGACCCCCCAGCCTGGTCCCTGTCAGGCTTGCCAGTACCAAGGCAGCTGCTTGGGGTCTGCTGGTATCAGAGTTGCTTAGTGTAATGATGATAAATTTGAGCCACCAGCTGTTGGCCCTAAGGGTGAGAGTGAGTCTGGTGTCTGCAGAGGAACAGGTGGGACAGACGTCTGCCTGTGGCCCCTGCAGCCTCCATGGCCTTCCCAGCTCCCACTCAAGAACCTGGAGCACCAAGGAAGGGGTTCAGAGGGTGGTGGGAAACAGTGATGGCCATCTATCATCCCCTCTGACTCAGGAATTCTTGGGCAACAGCCCCCTAACCGGCCCTGATTGGCGTCTGTCTGGGTTATTCATTATTTATCCTGAAAGCCTCCTCCAGAGTCTCCAGGGAGGGATTCTGTCTCCATTCCTGGAGGCCCAAGAGTCGAGGGTGCAGCAGAGGGGAGCCTCCCCTGCAGACACTGCAGCCTGGCTGAGGTGAGGGCTGCACACCATGGCTCCTCACAGCTGCCATTATCAGCCTATTCACCAAGGGGGAAACTGAGGCCCAGAGAGGGAAAGGATCTTGCCCAAGGCCACACAGTTGTTAGCAGGTAAAGCTCTGACTGGGCGACTAGTTTTTGTCCATGCCCCCAGCACCCCCACTGCAGAGGCTTTCCTTATTTTTTCACAAGAGTTCTTTATATATCAAGGCTGGCAGGCTAAGGGTGTCCGAGTGGGTAGCTGGGTTCCCTGAAGCCTGGTTAGAGCTCTTTATATATCAAGACTGGCAGGCTAAGGTATCTGAGTGGGTAGCTGGGTTCCCTGAAGCCTGGTTTGAGTATAATTTGGGAGCCTCCTTTCCTAGGGACAGGCTTTGCTAATTTGTCCCAGGAGTGGGTTGGCTTGACTGGGGTGGAGAGAGTGCAGGGAAGGGGCCTCTAAGGGAGGTAGAGGCTGGGATGGGCATCTGGCGCTGACCCCACCCTCTGTGCCTCTGTCTGAGAGGCTCTGGTCAAGGGGCCACATGGAGGAGGTCTCTGCCTTATCAGACCTAGTGTGTCCTGAGACCCAGAGCTTCCCCCACACTCCTGCCAGTGTTGCCAGAATGTGGAGAGGCCTTGCAGCTAGGGAGCCTTACCCCTAGGCTAAGTCCTCAGGATCAGGCCCCACCCTTAGAGCTGGACCTCTCCTGCCTCCTGCAGGGCACTACCTGCCAGGGTATGGCTGCTGGTCACTGGGAATGTGTTGGGAACCTGAATGAGTCACCCCACAAACAGGCACAGCCAGACAGTGAGAAAGGGCTGCTGCTCCGGATGGCAAGAGGCATCTGCAGCTGCCAGGTGCCAGGTGCTGTCCAGCCACTCTGGGCCCTGTCTTTGCAGCCCCAACTCCCAGAGGACGAGAGCACCCAGGGCAGGCCCAGGGATGTGCCCACCCTCTCTAGGAGGCAGGACCTGTCTGTGGGAGGAGACCTGGGAGGGGCTCGGGCCCACAGTGGGCAGAGCTACACTGTGTGGATGCTTGGTCCAGGGCCTGGTGATGTGATGTCCAGCAGTGTGAGAAGGGGCCCGTCTGGCCCGGCCCCACTGCCTCTGGCAGGCTGCAGGTTCTTGTGCTGGACCTAGGCTCCTGCCCAGGCTAACAGGAGTGATGGCAGCTGTGCAGGGTTAGAGTCCTTCTAGGGTCAGGTGAGAATGACATTGGGGCCCAGCTTGCTATTTTAGTGAATCCTGCCAACAGCTGTGAGAGGGACTTACTTTGATCATCGTCTTTTACTGACATGAAAATAGAGGCTCAGAGAGGTTAAGGAACCTGCCCAAGGTCATACAGCAAAGTGGTGGAAGTGAGATGCAGACTCAGAGCTGTGGACACTGATACATGTTCTCCCACACTCCCTCTTCCTGAGGTGCTCTCTAGAAACAGTTATTATAGTGCAGTATCCTATCACAACGCCTTAATATTACTGGTCAACCTATTTTAAAAGCAATATATGCTCATTCCATTCAGTCTAGAAATCATAGAAAAGGAGAGAACAACAGAACTCAGCCTAAGGTCCCAGCACTTACAAACAATCCTCATTAATATTTGGGGCACGTGCAGGTCCTGAGGCCTAATTTATTTCTAAGTCCCACGTCATCCTGACCCTGGAGCCTGGTCAGTTTTCCTGGGGAGGCCCACGTGGCCCAGAGTGGCTCCTGCCCATGCCATGTGGCTCTCCCTGGGGTCTCAGAGCTCTGTGTGCCCCTCTGCTGTGGCCGGGCGGGCCAGGCCGGGGCCAGCTCTGCTTCTCACCCATGGCTCTTGTGTCTCTCGTTTCAGGAAATTAAAATGCATGACAGATAGCGAGTCTGTTCCTCCTGACTGGCCCTATTACCTAGCCATTGATAGGATTCTGGCCAAGGTCCCTGAGTCCTGTGATGGCAAACTGCCGGATGGCCAGCAGCCGGGCCCCTCCACGTCCCAGACCGAGGCGTCCCTGTCGCCGCCCGCTAAGTCCACCCCTCTGTACTTCCCGTATAACCAGTGCTCCTACGAAGGCCGCTTTGAGGACGATCGCTCCGACAGCTCCTCCAGCTTCCTGTCCCTTAAGTTCAGGTAGTGTGCATCGCTCTTCCTGCTCCCGACCCCAGGGACTCACCTTTCCCCACCCCGATGGGGGTCCAGAGAAAGGGACCAGGAGTGGCTAGGGGAAGCAGCTGCAGAGGCCGAGGTGGTGTGCAGGAGCCTCTAAGGACAGGGCAGCCCCAGCCCAATGAGGGCTGGAGTGTCCACAGACAGAGCAGGTTTGTCTCCAACTCCATCACTTCTTAGCTGCGTGGAAAGTTCCTTGACCTCTCTGGCCTCAGTCTCTCTCTGACAAAGTGGGATCTCAGAGGGTGGGTGGGAACATCACAGGAGAGAAGGCCCCACACAGAGGGCATCCATATCCCTGGACCCAAAGGGGCCCCACTCCTCCCTGCCCCTACATGGACTGCCGGCCTCCAGCACCAGGGAGGATGTTGGGCTGAGCCTCCAGAGGCCCTCGTCACCTTTTGCAGGGGGCACACCATGTCCCTTCCACTAGCCATCCCACACTTTATACCAGGCCTTCATACATTGGCCATGACTGTGCCTGCAAGATGCTCACACAACAACTGGGACCCAGGACACATGCTGTGCAGGAGAGACACCTGGGTTGGCGGCCAGGGAGCTTAAAGAAGGCGCTTTGGAGGAGGAAACTTTTGGGTGGGCTTTGAAGGTTAAATAGGAGTTGGCTAGTTAGAGAACAGAACAGGAAGAATGTGGAATTGAGTCATGGCTTCTCTCCTGTCCCAGTGTTCAAGTCTGTCCAATGGGGGGGTGGAGTGAGGAAGGCATTTTTGAGGAGAGTCCCTCCAAGCTGACATCCCCCACACCAGGGGCTGCTGCTTGAGTCACCTGGTCCCCCTTCCTGGAGGGGATTTCTCATAAAGACCCCAGACAGAACACTTTTGCTAAAAGGTGAGGCCCAGTTAGCAGTGAGGCCTGAGGGTCATGGCCAGAAGTTCTACGGTCTGAGCCCTATTCCCAGACTGCACTCTCCCAGGCATTGCAGAGCTGGGACAGGCGGACCACAGCACTGCTCAAACCCAAAGCTGCGATCTCCCACCCCTGAGGTTGGCTGGTCACCTGTTGTGTTCAGAGCACAGAGTGTAGGGGGGCAGGTAGGCAGGCACCAGGACCTTGGGTCTAGTGGGAATTGGTAGCTCCCTGCCCTTCAGTGGGGGCTGGTAGACCAGGGATGGCCACCACCTGAAAGTGGAATGCCCCAGAGATAGTGCAGGGCTGAGCTGGCTTGAGGGCCTGGGAAGGAGCCCAGGCCTCCTCCAGGCCCCACATCGCCAGGTGCCTGACCTGCCTCCCTCACCCCAAAGCATGCTGACCCATCTCTAGACTGCGGGGAGGTGAAGGGCCAGGATCCCAGGCCCTTCCTTCTTGGACCTCAGTTTCTCCAGTTGCCCTAGGCTGGCTGGACTTGGTGTCCTCTGGCTTCCGGGCAGGAGCCCTGGGAGCCACAGAATACCCAGCCGTCACTTCTCCCTGGAGGGGAGTTCTGGGCATGTTTTCATGGCAGGGTGTGCCTCTGTAGCCCAGAACATCCACCCTTTCCAGACCACGGGTGGAGGTCATCCTTGAGCCTGGCCCGTTACTCTCTCCCTGCAACGGGCAAGTGGGCTCTGGCGCTCCTCCACACGTGGACAATGACACCCTGAGTGCCTGACCTGCCTCCAGGGGCCTCAGCTTCCCTATTTGCCCAGTGAGGTGGTGGGGGTGAGGTGGGGCCCCAGCATACCCCAGCTCTGTGGCCAGCACATCCACAGTGCACTATCCTTCCAGGTCAGAGGAGCGGCCCGTGAAGAAGCGCAAGGTGCAGAGCGGCCACCTGCACAAGAAGAAGCTGCGTCTGCTAGAGGCCATGCTGGAGGAGCAGCGCCGTCTGAGCCGCGCAGTGGAGGAGGCCTGTCGCGAGGTGCGCCGCGCGCTGGACCAGCAGCACGTGCTGCAGCTGCAGGGCTTGCAGCTCCAGGAGCGCATGATGAGCCTGCTGGAGAGGGTGATCACCAAGTCGGGCGTGTAGGCCTGTGGGCGGTGGCCTACCTGTGCACACAGCGGCCTGGACAGAGGGGACGCCCTCCACCAGGCCTGCAGTGGGCTTCTCCCGGCCAGACATTCCTTCCGAGGGGCCTGGTGAGGAGCCCCCAGGCCGTGGACCGGGAGACCTGAGTCTCTGGCACTGAAGTCCTTCCTCAGACACAAGCCCCGGCCTTCGGGGTGCTCCTGGCAGGACATCCTAGAATCTGCCTCAAGCGAGGCCACCACCAGTGATACTTGAAACGCCTTTTGATATTAAATGTGTACTTTTCTCATTATTGCCTGGAAGCAGGGTTTGCTTTCGCTGGGTAGGGTGGGGGACACCAATTGATCTACCCTGAAAATGAGGCTCCTGGAAGAGGGCTGAGCGGCCGGCGTGGTGCCATGGCAGGCTCTCTCCTGAGGGGATGTGGTGTCCTCCCTCCTCAGGACCTCTGCATCTGCGCTGAAATAACCTCTCACATCCCCAGCAAACCCCAGACGCTTCAGCACCCTTGTTACTCACCTGTGTCTGGAACCTCAGGTATTTCCGCTGCCTCCTTAATGACAACACTGATAAAGGTGATAAACCTGCTGGGGCCCCTCCCGTTTAACTTTCCAGGCTCTGCGATTCCTGGTGAGTGAGACAAAGGCCCTGGCCTCAAGGAGCATCTGCTCCCATGCAGGGGAGGCAAGCCAGTCAGTAGAGAATAACTAGAGATGGTGATAAGCATTGGAAGGAAGGGGTCGGCCTTAGACCCAGGAGGGCAAGACCCAGAGGACATATCAGGGCAAAGCCCAGGGGCAGCAAGGAGGGCTGTGCAGAGCCCAGCAAGGAGCTATGGTTGTTGCCCAGTGTGTTGGGAATGTTTCAGCTGCTACAGCTCTGGTCTGACATCCACAGGGCAGAGCTGCTGGGGGAGGGCCACAGCCACAAGCTCACTACACCACCGTATCCTTTCACCAGCTGGAAAATTCTTTCCAGGAGCCCTTCAGCTGAATTCCCCCTGGGTCTTGCTGGTTGCCCTGGCTGCAAAGCATGCTGGGACCAGGTGTGTTTGATTTGTTCCCTGGGATGAGGCAAGTTGCTTCCCCCTGGCAAAAAAAGGTTTTGTGGCAGGTGTCCAGCAAGCAGGTGGCACAGTTTGACTCGTGGGTTAGAAATGCTCCCTCTGGCTGCCAGGAGAGGTATGGAGCCTGGGGTCTGGCCAGATGGTACCAGCTCACCTGACTCCCTGGGAGACGTTGAAGTTAGCCAGGCAGGGGAGTCACAGGGTGCCGGCCCAGGCAGTGAGAGGGGAGAGGATAGTGGTTCTGTGCAACCCAACACAGTACAGGGAGCACACAGTATTCCCCCTGCTCTCAGGGACCAAGAGCCCACACCCCTCCTCAGCCCCCTCAGAGATCTCCCTAGAGTCCATGTGCTGTGGATTCGAACCATCTTGCTTTGGGTGCAAGGCAGTGTCTGATGACTTAATAAGCAGCTCCAGTGGCGGGACAGAGCCCTGGCCAGTGCTGATGGTGCAAGTTCTCCCACTGAAGTGTGTCCAGCTGTCAGGTTGGGACATCCAGCAGCGTTGTTCCTCCTCAGACAAGCTCACGGCTGTTTCCTGCAAGCCAGCATGCCACAGACCCTGCTGAGCAGCAGTGGGCAGCTCTAAAAGATAGGATATGGCATCCCATGTTATGGGCCTGACTTTCGGGAGCTTGTTCTGCTGATCCCCAGCTTAGGTGCCCATCTGCCTTTTAGAAGAGACACCACCCAGGAGTCATTTGTCTAACAAACACCTTGGACTCCTGCCAGGCTCCTGTGCCACCCTACCTTGTGGGAACACAGCGTGGACACAAGTGACTGGCCCATGTGCACCTGCTCCCAGCTGCTGACCACTAAGGCTGCCTAATGTCTCCAACGGGGCAGCCGTGAGGGTCGCACCTCTGGTTAGTGCCTGAGCCCCAATCCGGCTTGCAACCCTGGCAAGCTGGTTAAGCCCAGAAGCCCCAGTGAGAGATAACACAATTGCAGCTCTAAACGACATAGCTGATTTCCACACCTGTAAACCTCTGTGTTCCTAGAGTCAGGGACTGCTGAGTGTCACTCACAACACCCCACGTGTGGCTTTCACAGTTGCGTTTTGGAGTGTTCTGTCTCTCTCCAGTCCCTGGTTCTCTTTGACTGAGAGTCCGAGCTTCCAGCTCTGTTGCCATCCCTCTTGGGCCAGGGTGTGGCCCTCCTCGTCCACTGGGGCAGGTTTCTCCTAAACACTGTGTCCTTAACAACTCTGATTTCTTCTTTAGTTGTTAGTCTATTAAGAAGAAAAAAAAAGACTATATCAGTAAATGCTAAAGTATTTGATCATGACTTGGCGCCTGTAGCGCAGCAGCAAGGACATCAGCCACATACGCCGGAGCTGGCAGGTTCAAATCGAGCCCAGACCTGCCAAACAACAATGACAACTACAACCAAAAAATAGCCAGGCATTGTGGTGGGCACCTATAGTCCCAGCTACTTGGGAGGCTGAGGCAAGAGAATCACTTAAGCCCAAGAATCTGGGGCTTAAACCCAAGAATCTGAGGTTGCTGTCAGCTGTGATGTCAGAGCACTCTACATAGGGTGACAGCTTGAGACTCTGTCTCAAAAAAATTTTTTTTTCTGATAAGATTCAGTAAAATAACATGTTAACACTGAAAACTCAAACCAGGAATCGGGCAAAGATAGCTGCTTTTCACCAGTTATTTAATGTTGTTTTGACGTTTATAGCTAATGCATTAAAATAAACAAAATAAGCAGAGTAAGAGAAGAAATGCAGAAAAGAGAATTACCTTTGTTTTCAGATAGTATTATTTCCCAGAAAATGAAATAAAAGAGCCTTTAAACCAGCTTAAACCTGTTAAAAATGAGAACGAAGGGCGGTGCCTGTGGCTCAGTGGGTAGGGCAACGGCCCCATATACCAAGGGTGGTGAATTTGAACCCAGCCCTGGCCAAACTGCAACAAAAAAATAGCTGGGTGTTGTGGCGGGCGCCTATAGTCCCAGCTACTTGGGAGACTGAGGCAAGAGAACCGCCTAAGCCCAAGGAGTTGGAGGTTGCTGTGAGCTGTGACACCATAGTACTCTACCAAGGGTAATAAAGTGAGACTCTGTCTCTTAAAAAAAAAAAAAAAAACTAACAGTGGAATATTAGGAATGAATTTAGCCTGAAAGGCATAGGATCTACAAGATGGAACTTTGTAGCCCCACTGAGAAATCTAGAACAGGCTCTGCACCAAGAAAGCCCCAATGAGACGCCTCCCTGTGTCCATGCAATTCCAACTACACTCTCAATAGCTGCATTTTTAGTTTCAAAATGGATGAGATTATGTTTAAATTCATATGAAGAAAGAATGGGGGCCAAGGTGAGGGCCAAGGCCAGTGCTGTGAGGAGACTGCTCTGCCTCTCCAGGGGTCGGGATTGCTGGGCTGGTCGCTAGGGTCTGGTCACATGGAGCCAGGAGGGCTGCCTTCCCACTACTGGGTTCCCAGTTTTTATAATCACATCACTATTACTGGTAGGGAGAAAATTATTCCAACAAAATATTTACTGGAATTAGCTTGTATCAGGGAAAAGATATACTAACACGTGTCTTATAATACCTGAAATCACGTATTTATGTAGCCTTTTGGGAAAAGGTTTTGTTTTTGTTTATATGCCATAAATAAAGGTACCCTATTTCCAAAAATAGAAGCTAGAAAGAAGTAGGAATTCCTGCATCCAGCAAGAGTGTTAATTGCCAGGGCCACCCCACAGAGATTTGGCCTTATCTCCCAAAGCCGAGAAATGCTGGGCTCCACCTCCAGGTCCTCCAATACCTGTAAGAATGCTTTATCACATGGAGCCTGCAATACTTGAAAACTGTCTATTTGTTGTAAGATAATAAACCATCACACGTTAACATAAATAACAATTGTGTGAAAAAATATTGTCCAAATCAAAAATGTTTTAGCTAGAAAAGCAATGTCATTTTACACTTGTGCAAATCTCTGGCTTAGGAGAAGCCCGCTGGATCACGGGGGCTCCCCTGTGGGCCATGTTTCCACAGTAGGTGTGGGCAGTCTGGCTCCCACAGATGCGGGTTTGGAAAAGGAGGGAACATTTTAATCACTTTTGCATCCATTATAATATGGATGTTACTCCTTGATTTTATACTGACACTTGACGGGGGAGTGGTGGTTTTTTCGGGTTAGCTGTGACATGGAATCTGGAACCACATCAGTGAGCTTTGCCTTCTGTCTCCCTGACCCACCTTGCATTTTGTTTTATTTTATATTATTTTGAGACAGAGCCTCAAGTTACTACTCTGGGTAGAGTGCTGTGGCATCAGAGCTCACAACCTCCAACTCCGGGGCTTAAGCGATTCTCTTGCCTCAGCCTCCCAAGTTGGGTTGCAGGCAGCCATCCTCATGTTCACAGGCCTCTCAAGTCCCAAGTAGCTGGGACTACAGGCGCCCGCCACAACACCCGGCTATTTTTTGGTGTAGTTGTCATTGTTGTTTGGTAGGCCTGGTCTGGATTTGAACCTACCAGCTCTGATGTATGTGGCTGGCGCTTTAGCCACTTGAGCTATAGGCACTGAGCCCCCCCTTACATTTTAACTGGTCTTTCTCCATTGGTGCTTTTGTGAAGTCGCTCATTGGGCACTTGGAAAATATTGGCTGCAGATTTTCACCAAGTGATGCAGATTTTCCAAATGTTGACACACTTTATTAAGCTTTTTTTTTTTTGAGACAGAGTCTCACTCTATCACCCTGGCTAGAATGTAGTAGCCTCATCATAGCTTGCAGGAACCTCTTGGGCTCAAGCAATCCTCCTGCCTCAGCCACCCAAGTAGCTGGGACTATAGGTGCTGCCACCATGCCTGGCTGGTTTTTCTATTTTTAGTAGAGACGGGGTCTCACTGTTGCTCAGCCTGATCTCGAACTCCTGAGCTCAGGTAATGCACCCACCTGGGCCTCCTGAGTAGCTAGGATTATAGGCATGAGCCCTTGTACCCAGCTTTCGTTGATCGTTATTTAAAAATCACTTTATTTATGGTGTGATAGCACCATAAGTCTTAGCCGAAAAGTCTTTAAGTTGGGAAATTATCCATCCTGGTGAGGGACACAAGCTTTTCAAAATTCTGGTATTTGCATGAGAGCTTGTATTCTATTGTTTGGTTGTTTTCCTTGAAGGGACAGGCTCACTTTGTTCTTTTTCAAGAAAATGTGGGCCAGGGTACCTGAGG